TTCGATTCCAGTTTTTGTTCAACAAAATCAACCTTTATTCTGAGCTAGTTTTGGTAGCTCTGCGCTGCATGCTATCGCAGTTCTCACTCGACGAAAAGTAGTTTTCGATTGTCAAAGTTTTTAGACGTCTACTTGTTTGGTTTCTGCGGGCAGTAGCACATAGTGCCGGGCAGCGGGCACAATGCCCATTGTGTGTTTATTAACACTCGGGCACTTCGGTGTAGACGGCAGTAAATCTTGGTCCACATCTCAAACCAAACATACAAGTTGTGTCAGCTGTCGACATCGATAAAGTCTCCGGACATAGTTTGATACCGATGACGTACTTCTAACGTAAGAAAGAAAATGAATATGTACTTTGATTCTTACATCTAAAATAAAACATTTTGAAAATTGGATTAACCTTTGAACATAGAGATTAATTTGAAGAATGGGAAGTTTATTCCTAGGTTTATTAGTCAGTTAATTCATGAATGAACGTGTTGTACGTACATGAGGATAAAACTGATTTTAGCCGAGAAAAAATATAGAAATTTTGCGTCTCGTTGGATAAATAGTGGAAAGAACTAGAAAAAATAGTAACATAACAAATTTTTAAAGACAGTTTCACATCTACAACGACTTATCTTGAAATTCTGGCTAGAGGTAACACGAACACAAGAAAATCTTGTATTTAATAAAAGGTGATATTGACGAAGCTACATTTGTGTTAATTTTAAAGAACTGTAGCCTTTTTATATACAGTACTTAAAAACTACCTGTATCTATATTTATTTTTTGGACATTAACAAATTTTACACTGACCAAAGGCTGTATAAAGTGTAACAAGAGTCACTATTTAATTGGATTTCTTTCTGGGCGCGGGATATTCGATTAATTCTCCGATGGATTTAGTTTTAAACCAAAATAGTTGTTAACTGTCCGTTTTCTGTACAGTGCACGTTTTTGCAACACCCATAGACCATTATGGGCATGCATTAATATACAATTATTATTTTGTAAAGAAAGACTCAACAGAAATATTGATGGAATTGCGATAGTTTCACTCTATAGATATTAACCGTAAATAAATTTTAAATTGGTTTTTATCGGTAAATGTTTAAATTGATTACAACTTTTATGTTTAAGCAACTCATATGATGGCATTAGATGAGAGATAGTTTATGAAACTATCTAAGCTATTTACCTTAGTAGCCTTTAAAAACCATTTGACTTAAGTCTTCAAATCAAATCAAATAGTTTATTCAATCAGAATTAACAATATACAGTACTTTGTTGCAATGTCTTCTAACATTCCAGTCAATAGAGTACAAGTAGGCCTACTATATACGTCAATTTCATGCGTCAAACGGTGTTGCTTAGTAGGTAAGCTGGATTAGATCACCTGATAAAACAATGATTATAGCATGTTTGTAAATATACCACGAGATTTTGATCGATGACACAAATTTGGTGAGAACATTTCAAAACAAAAGAAATTTATATAAGCGGTCGTAGATAATCTTTTGTTTTACGAAAATCACACTCGATTGTAACCGATAATTAATCAACAAGACAACAAGATGCATATTTGGCGAAGAAGAGGGAATGGTAGTGAATAAGATGTCGGTTTGTTACTGACTAATATCAGATTGTAACAAGGATCATTGAAAAAGCCCCATGTTCAAGGACAGCTGATTAAGTTTTGAACCATGAAAAAGATTTTGACTTTTCTCATGGTCGACAACCAGTCCAGATATATTTATACTGGACAGCCAGTGTTAGCTCGATCCCTCATAAGTAGTTGGACTGTCTGTCCAGTTTCGGCCAACAGGGAAACGTATATCAGGCGAATTTCAAACCTGGGACTGAATGTCCCAAATCCTTTTCCTGGCCAATCTCGAAACCGAGTACATCCAAACAATCGAGCTCAACACAATCTAACACCCTACTTACCACGTGTTATCAAAATAGCCAACGAGATGGAGACATAACGATCTGTTAAACTGATATAAAAGCCGGGTGAAGAGAGCGGCAGGTGGACCCGTCAACATGCAAAGTTCGGCGTTCGGCGCGCTGCCAAGCGGCTAAACGCTCAACTAATGACTCGGTAAATTAGCCGCTAAGTGGGGGAGGGGCGCTATTTATAGGGGACGGGCCGCGTTTGGGCAGTGATATATAACTTTCTGATTCCCTGACAGAGGCTATTTGGGGATGCGCCTCGAGAGACAGGCGCCGTTGCAGAGTTTCGGGGGTGGAGACGCGCAAAGAGAGAAATTGGTTGGATAAAAAGAAGTGAAATAAATCAAAATGACTACAATAAACGCACGGATGATGTGGTGGTCATAGTTTCCACACTGATCTCATACAGCTAAACGGTTCGGGTTGTCACCGACAATCTGGTCCGAATATCACCGGCGACAAAAACCTCCGGTGTTGAAGCTACGACACATCTCCCTCGAAGAGATTGGGGTGGGTGGCCGTGACGTCATAAATCCGGTGCATTTTGTTGTTTATTTATATTTTACATCTATGATCAAATGCACTTAAGGACCATTTGCTGTAGACTGTTACAAATAAGATAAACTTTAGCCTAAATTTTATTCGTTCAGTTTTCATTTTGATTGGGCAAAGTAAAATTTTGAGAAATCTGCTAGCAAAATAAATCAAGTGAAAAAATACCACTTGGTAGGACAACTTTCGACAAAAGTCATTAGATTTTTGCTAGTTAAAAACTGGACCCAGCTTTCCTAAGTATCGGGACTAAATGGTTTAACCTAACTAAAGAAACACTTCAGCAGAATCACAGCAACACAAGGCATCTCACTCCAGTCTAACTAATTTTGCAATCCCAACACAACGTTGTAATTCTATCTAAATGTAGTAATAGCGATAATACCTAATAACCTCAATTCAAAATCCACCGTCATATGTGTATACTTCACAGATAATCTAAATATAAACGAAGCGAGAAAACGAGCACGTGTAAGAGTGAGAAAGCGGGAGACTTAAAGAGGCGCTAATGTGAGACCTCCGAACTGTCATCTACTGGAGTGCTTCAGTTTTCACCATGTGGCCGCGCGGTGACACCAATGATGCATGCAGCCCACCTGTTCCCGCGCCATATGTATGAAAGTCACACGCGTCGGCACCTTTGACGAGGCTACTGATGATGTTTTAGCAGGACGTATTAATATTTTGGTATGAGAAACAGTTCGGCGCTCTGGAGAATTGTGACGTTCCTAACGACTTGCTTTCGTTTCCACTAAGTGTGGGCGGTTCGCTTTGATGTTTAGATTATGTTTGTAGTTGGTTTGTGGATTGCTACATTGTGGTTATGTTTTGGTCAGTTTGTATTTATATTCAACGCCTTTGCATACTGATGTGGACATTCCAAATGTACCAACTAGTAGTAAATCGGTCAGTTTCTTATACAAAGAGGCAAAGAGCTCACGCATAGTCTACCGTTAAGAATTCAATGTGAGTAATTAATAGAACCATTTCTTTGTATATACTGACATCCTATCACTGACTTTGAATATAGCAAGATGACTTCAAATCTTAAGCGCAGGAGGAAGTAAGGCTTATTCAAGTTATAAATGCGACAATGTATGGGCAACCATATTTTAATGGACTGTAAATTACAGTAAACATTTCTTTCTAAATAAGGCATGGTGAAGAGAAACTGACCACAGGAATCAATTAAATGATCCGTTTTAACAAAAGACCGAAACTTCACATAACAAAACTAGGATTTGGGCCGTTCCCTTGCACAAAAGTTATCGAAAAAAAACACAATATAACAGAAAAGGTATGAAAATCACGTTGAAATGCAACAATGTATGGAAAGCTAGATTTAATGTACCGTAAATTATTAACAAGCACCTGCCTTATCTCTTGGCACTTATCATAAAGCACTTATCCGCCTAAGTGCTTGGGAAGATATAGTTGCAAGTTAACACCTTGCCTAGTTGTGGTGTTACTACAGTGTATCAAATGTTACACTTCGGTCGATTTCATCCCAAATTCCTAGCTGTATGTAAGATGATTTAAGTTTTAAGTAACTGATGTTTGGAACTACGAGTGTTAAAAATGTCTCCAATATCTCCAATTGCTAAAATTCAGACAAGAATTAACACTTTATTGGTTGGTTTTCCATCAGTCAAAGAATACTTTGCTCATATAGGATGGTATGATTGTTTAATGGACAAGTTTGAAATGTAAAATTCGTTACAGATGTCAGATTTTATGAATCAAACTAATTATCGAGTGAATAAAAATCGGTGGTGACCCAACTCGTGAATGTTAAATGCAAATCTTGCATAAAATACAAAACATCGTTCAAGACAAGGTCAAAATTTGACAAAACACGATCGGAATATTTTTTTAGAAGAGGTTTTTACAAGGAACAAAGCTTCTTACTAACAAAAATGTTATTACAGAAACATAAATAGATTAACTTTGAGTTAGCCTATTTGGTTTTCGCTCTAAGAATAATACATGCATTGGGGGGGGGGGGGGGCAATTAAATAGGGTTTTAGGGAAGGGTTGAGCTAGAAAATTTCGTTAACAATAAAAATTGTGTTTTGTCATTCAAGATATAATTCTTGCTAATATCTATTAATTTTAGGAATAAAATGTTAAAATTATTTTATTATAATAATATCCGTAAAACCATATTGTAGTATTGTCTAAAAAATAGTAGCTGGGCGATCTTGTATTTTGGCAGCAGACTACAGCATGGTTAACTTTCGTAAAATATAATTCCTAGTCCGTGAAATTAAAAGCTTGACATAATCGTGTTCTGTCTAATATTCATCAACTGTTGCATTGAGTAGATTCAAACATCAATTTTTCAAATTTACCAGGGCACACAAAAGTATTCTTTTCACAAAATGTAGTGCACACAATGCGTAATAAAAGACTTACGGTTGAAAACATAAACCCAAAAAGCCTTGCCCAGCTTAAAGTTGTTGTAATATAAAATTAGTTTTTCAAAAATCGTTTAGTTTATCACTTACCAGGAGGTAGTCTGGGAGAGAAGGTCTTGCCCCGGAGGACTGAGTTGTCTTTCGCTTGTATTGCTGCTTCTGCTTCAGTTTCGTTCAAAGTCTGGAACCAAAGAGATTAATTTTACTAAAGAGGTATGAAGCAATGACTTTGAGAACAGCAAGTAGACTCGTCTAAATCTGGTTGCTTTATAATGCTGCGAAATAAGAGTTGCGTTTTGATGTTTTGCTCACCTAACTAAAGGTTGCCGGATCGGTCCTGAAGAAGTTGAAAAAGTGTTGATGGTTCAAAACTGGATCAGCTGGTTAACCAAATGCTCCTGAATAATAAAACAGCTGATTTTATTCGGCAACGTAGCTACAAAGATCATCACGCTTCATTCTTGACACATCCTTCACTCATATTTTAGTTCAAATACACACCCAAATGGCATCACTATCTAAAATGATGTTAATATGATGATGGTTCTTAACTTCCCCAGCTTTCCTTAATCATTGGAATTTTTATCAAGACTGTTTAAAAAAACAGCGGAAAGTAAGTTGCAAACATACATAGATATCTTTTTCCGATCTACCCACACACTGCAGTGTAAAAAGTGTAACACACGTACAAAAATTATGTCACTTTATCAGCTGATGAAGTGATTAAATCGTCTGACCAAGCCATTCAAATCTAAACTAATAATCTTATAATCCATATTTTCTAGCCCCTGAGCTGGTTCTATAACTAAATTGAAATTTTACCTTTGTCATCCAGCTCCTGATATTATTATCAACTTGTTACGGCCGTTTCAGCATCACTGTGCCATCGTCGGACTGTTCAGCCAAAAGGCGTCGTTAAAACACAAAAACATTTACACGAAACACACACATATTTGTCAAAACGGGGTTTTGAAAACAGGCCTGTTGAGGATAGTACATTCCCGAACTTGAGCAAGTAGCTGACTAGAACCCCGTTTTGACAAATATGTGTGTGTTTCGTGTAAATGTTTTTGTGTTTTAACGACGCCTTTTGGCTGAACAGTCCGACGATGGCACAGTGATGCTGAAACGGCCGTAACAAGTTGATAATAATATCAGGAGCTGGATGACAAAGGTAAAATTTCAATTTAGTAATAATCTTAATTCATCTAAAATTAGCCTTGTATTATTTTATGCCTAAAGTACGCCGATGTACTTTATGTACTCTTATCAAGATAAAAATAACTTCTTAGATAGGTACGATTTTAACATGTCTTGTTCACGGATTCACCAATGCTTGGTTGATCTATATTCATGCAACATGGGTATTTTTAGCTGCATATATGCATAGATTTTTTGATTGACTACTTAATGCTTCAGTAACAAATATACGCAGATCATCTCAATCGATTCCATATCCACTCTCCATTTTACACAGTGAATATTTGAGCTTGGACCAAAAATAAATATTTTCGCAGAAATCATAACCTCCTCAACACCATATCAAAGGAAACCCTATACTTGTAAGACATTGCTACACCTAAGCTTTGTTCCAGCTACTGTTTTGCGCAATTCTTTGTTGCCAATCCCTACCAGCTCGGCGCTCGCACTCAAATGTGCCATAGGATTGGCGCCGAGCCGTTAAATAGCGCAAACGTGGCTCACGAGCCAGACCGGGTCATGGGCTGATGAGGTGGCAACTGGCAACTGCAGACGGGAAACTGCAAATTGTCGCGAAACTGGGCTTTATCAACTGGAACTTTGTCAGGTGTTGACTGCGCTGGTAGTGCAGAAACGCGTTTGGTACCAACTAGGTGAATTGGAAAACTTTCTAGTCTAGGTAAACTAAACAATGTAAATCTTGGGTAGTGGTTTAGAATTTGTGGTTTTAGATCAGTTTAGATTTGGACGACGTTGAGATATCAGATTGCGTATTTTAAGGTGAAGATGAGGGTTCAGGGTTGAATGAATGACAGCTGTTTTGCTGACTAAGATCAGCTGTTTCTTTAACAAGCCATCAAAAACCCTAATCATAAAGGACAGCTAAAGCTGAGTCCATCTTAGAACGATGATAACGCTACTGACATTTCTCAGGATCGAACTTCCGAAATCCTGGTTACTAGACGAACACTGGAGGTTGGCGACTGCATTGGCAAAAGCTTTTAACTGGGATGTACAACTTAAGAAAGTAAATATCAATGTAAATTATTGAGATTTAAAGTTTAAGTTGGCAAATAAATGCAGAACATTTTTCAATGGAGCTGTGTAACGAAAACATAATCCTCATGAGGTTGAGGTTGAAACTAGATTTAATGGAAACGTTTATAATTGAGATTTGCAATTGAAAATTACACTCTTCATGTTGATGGTAGAGGGTAGATGTTTTGGTATTTTTAAAGCCATTCGTGAACTTTCTAGAGACATTTTAACTGCTAAAACTGTTTCCAAAAACCTCCGTCACGTTTTTATGGCAAAATGTATGTTTAGATTAAATTTCCAGAGACCAATAAGGGGGTTTCGAAAATTTGATGACCCCTCTTCCCCCCTTGGAACACTATAAATCAAATCAAACATGTTATTCAAACTTCCATTTCCTATTCAGACTTTACTTTACCGAAAGCGAAACCTCCAGAAACATCGAGGTAGAGGACGCTGACAACACTTCTCTAAGCAGATCCGCTAGTTTCCTAACTCTTTGGATGCTTGGTAGCAGCACCATCAGAGCCTCAATGTATGCTTTGGTATACGACAATCGACAACTGATCACTGTAACTTGTACACGTCCCGTGATCGACGTGTGAACGTGTCGCGCGTGTCGGATGACGTGTAGACGTGTAGACGTGTAGACGTGTTGCGTGTTGCAGACGTAACACGACCAGCTGGTCAGAACTGCTGACAGAGTGTCTGCGACTGACCTGCCTCACATAGTCTCGTAGTGGCGAGTCGTACAACTGGGTACATACTCAGTTCATACCTAAATTATAATTGATTCTCGTTCACATGTGTATGCGAGAAATCATGAATCATAAACATTAGGATTGAGTGGGAGTTTAAAAAGGGACACACCAAATGATGGGTCCTCAAGTGTCCTAACATTACAGCAACTATATAGGATGAATTCAATTCTCGCGGGGCTACCAACAAACCACTGCCAGTCTCTACAGAACCAAAAACAACGTCGCTACAGTGACAATTCTAAAAAAATCTGTAACCGCGCTCTTCTCTATACAACTTTGTGGAATCTTTCTAAAACATCATAAAATATTCTTTACTTCAACCTTTGCTTGCTAAAACATAGATATAGCATTGTCGATTTTCACGCACTAACTCTATGTTTTCCATTTACTCTACTTTGTATTATCAATTTCATTTACTAATGCTAATCCGTTTTCCCGAAGCAAGTGTTAATCCTTAATAAAATGGTTGAATATTTGTTGTGCCGTCAAGTGACCAGTTTTTGTTAAGCGATCATGGTTTCGAGCCTAAAAGTATATTTTTAAGTTGAAGAAAAGAATACAAAGTAGAAACAGCTCCTTTTCATCACTGGGGTAATTATATGAACACTCTCGTGCCGTAATTGATTAAAAGTTGTATCAACTATCAAAAAAGTGTATTTTCTTTGGGTGTATTTTATTTAATTAACCTGCTGTTGGTATTGGTAATGGTATTCAACATTGTTTGTTGATATAATTGTGATCCAGAGGATGATCATGTTTAAGTCTCAGGAAACCCACTGAATATTTTATTGCAAATATACATGGCAAGATACTGTATAAATATACAGAGAGCTGAATGAATTTATCGTGAAAAACAAAGAGGGAATGGAAACTATATCCTAAAACTAGAATTACACTATAGTTGGAAATGCATGGATTCTAAACAATGTTGAGCTATCCTTATAACTTAGAAATGTTAGATACGAATTTCAATTTAACAAAAGCTTTAACTTTCGCTGCCTACAGTTTCTTTTTACCTGCTAATTAAAACACGTATTTGGCAACATGTTCAAAATAGGTGTAAAACCTGAGAACATACTGGAAAATGTTATCTTCGGGTGGACCGATGCATCTAGGTGTCGAATGAGGCAATTCAAACAGTGAATTAATGACATTCATGTATTCATGCCAAAATGATTCAAGTAATGATACTGGAAAATGTTACGACTAAATAGAATTTTTATTTGGTCGATGGTCAGGTGGGGTTAGGTTAGGTGACTACTCGGCTGCTTGGGTTTATTTTTCGTAAGCCGTTCTCTATACATAATGTGCTTGGGGTGAACAATTTTCTGACTCTTAAAACTTAATTTGTCCACTTCGTTTTCTGCCCTTAACAATTCATGACACGACAATATAATATAATAAATAAAAACGTTGGCTAAAATAATCATCAAGATATACACTATACAGGCCTACAAGGTAAATTTACCTTCAAAATAAATTCTGTAAACGCCTCAAACGTTATCTTATTCTTCAGTACATCCATCTTGTAGATTGGTCAAGGCACAACTAATTAATACGTATCAGGTGGTACTGGGAGGCACAGGAGATATTGGCCCGTGCGTCAATTGATATCAGAAGTACGTAAGCAAAGGTAAGCTGGACTCAATATAGTAAACAGATCAAGAATGAGTTTGACGTAAGCACGAGTTGAGGTCAGCATGTTTTAGCCAGTCCATTGATAAGTTCTTATCAGTATTTGATCTAAATCTTATCAGTAACATTTTTAGAATCGACCTAGATAATGGTTTCTATTGGAGGAGAGAAGACTAAAACAATAAGTCTGAGAAAATACTAAATTTTAAAATTATCTATTCTGTGTAAGGTTTTAGAGATCTTAATGCAGTTCAGATCAAAATAAGTCAAACATTTGTCGTTCAACCTTATGCATCCTTTAATATTTAGTTTCTATAACCAACTTAAAATACAAGTTTTTAAATTCATTTTACAATAGCGATTTGTGTATTAAGACCGCAATGATCCATTCCCGCTCTAGAGCAGCAATGAGCTATTTTACGCACTGTTTACAGGTAGGGCAATGTGATAATTTCCATGCAGTGGTAGGAAAAATAATTATATCTCACTGCTCGTTGTGCTGTTTCGTCCCGTATTAATACCAAGGGATGCAATCATTTTCTGTTTCTAA